GAGGCCTCCTTATGCACGCTACCATAGTTTGTATTGAAAAATGCACCTTGATTATCCAGCGCGTCTGCTACATTCGCTGTGCACGTCTAAAATACAGCTTAGTTCACTATACCTCATTTTTGCTGAATCTTCTGAACGTTCTTTAAATGATCCGATTAAATTCTTGCAAAGAGATTATGGAAATCTTGAAAGGCCTTAATGGGAGCTCAAAAATGACGCGATGTCTAGATGTGTTGATCCGAACAGCGCGCAACGTTTGGAGTCTTATGCCAGTGTTCAGACCCTCATTGAAACATTTGAGTGTTCATTTCGAGTCACGTTAAAGTTGTTATCCTGTTATCCTACAAAATTTGTAGGTATAGAGCGAGTAGAGAGAAAAGAAATTTCTGAGGCCATTATGGTCAAACTGGATCGCACACCTAGCAGAAACTGTGTGAAAAGCAAGAATGAAATATTGTCATCCGCTTTCGTGAATGATTTGCAAGCTGAGCGCAACAGAACACCCTACCTATAGGTTACTTCCACTTTACTGATATACGTAATGACGAAAGGAATCAGCCGCTGTTTTGACTCTCTGCGGGTTTCATTAAGGTCTTCGATTCAGACAGCAGTAAGAATTGCGGATCGTCTCACGACACCTCGGCTGATTGGACATTCATCAGTCTTCAGTCTTGGATGAAAACTCAAGTGAGTGCTTGCGCAATTATAGTGACCGGGTTATAAATCCACAGAAGAGTGAAGCAGGGGTTGCCTTCCTGCTCCGACAAGAGTACAACTTTCATCTAACAGTTATCTACGCAATGTACCGCCATTGCAAGGGTGATGTATCAATTCAATAGATAGTTATTTCATTTCGAACAATTTCTTGACCACAGCATTTCTGAGTCCCATTTGTGGAAGATCATGCTTTACTTTCGAACCCTTACTTAAACATCTTATCAAATATTTGGCTTGTTTCCGGCTTATTTGGAAGCTCAATAGAAAACACCAAATGTTCATCTAAACGGCTGTGATGGCGCATTGCACAGATTTCTGCCGCTATATCTAAAAACCTAACGCGCAGAAAAAGTTCAGTGAATGGATGAATTGAAAAGACGGGTATTTGATCTCCTTGAGTACTGCACCTGGAGGAAACATAGATACTGGATAGATAGATACACAGCAGATATACCAGACGGCAACATATCGGGCAGTTATGCTACCTTTACTGTCGTACAGCAAGGAAATCTTGACACTCTACAGATGACACATCCGGGCTACTGACCGATTTCACATGCACTAAAAAGTTGTCCGTTGCCTATCTGCCATGCTACCCGAAGGTGTACGAGGACTGGGATACTTCTAGGTTGCCCAAGCCTGAGCAGAAGCTGAAATGCAGAGATCGGGTTCGAACCATGGACCTTCCGGTCAGCAAATTTGCGCTCTGACCACTGAGCCATCTCACCTGCACTTTTTGGAAAAAAAACTCTTCGGCTCAAAGGTCAGCAAATTGCGCTCTGACCACTGAGCCATCTCACCTGCACTTTTTGGAAAAAAAACTCTTCGGCTCAAAATCCCACTCATCGAGATCATTCGGAAAACAGAGTCATCGGAATTAAATGTAGTCTGAGGTTAAACTATTTAGAACAAGTGACTGGAACTTGTAGCCAAAAAAGCTTTTCTACGGATAGCAGAGCAGTTGAATTCGGAACCTGAGACATTCGAAAATCCGTTATTGGGACAGTCTTCAGCCAAATTTGAAAAGTTACAGTTTCCAGTTTAGGGCATGGGAAAACCTGTTCGTTGCAATAGGCATGAGAAAGACTATGAACGCAGACATCAGAAGTTTGGGACTCAACACACCTCAGTGGTGCAAACCCAACGAGCCATTCAGGAGGAGCTCAAACTCTATAGATCAGCCCCGACCACGTGGACTTGCTCAGGCTGCGGACGAACGTTGTGGGCCATCAGCGCTCTTCGGCCGTTCCAATGAACTTAAAAAGGTGGAGCCATTTTCTGAGCAGGATCTTACTGACACTATCGCCCTACGGGTGAAGTCGCAATTTGCGGCGATTGATTCTACCAATAGAATAAGGCAGCATCGCAGATGTTCCATACTGTTGCTACCAACGAGTGGCGGTCAGACCCCAGGTTGAGATCGAATTGTGGTTCCATCGACAAACGCTGTATACTAGGTCAAGGCCGAAACATTCCTAAACTGACTCAATGGTGTCATTCAGAATCCGAAGTGCTCTCAAAGAAGGCCGCGCTACTGCGGACAAGGTTGAGGTAGTTAGTGTAAGATGGATAGCTGGATTTTAGGTTTCCAGCCGCTGTAGTCTCTGTTGCAACGATTGCCCGAGACGTGGGATGTTGCGGCAGGATTCATCCACCAGCGAGTCTTCGAGTATTCAGGGTGGGCACGGGGTACCAACAGACAAAAATTTCGAGCTTCCGGATGTCCTGCATGCAAAGCGGCTCGTCGCTTTGGATGAGCGTTTGCGCAGAGACTGATTTTTCTACTCTCTCATTAGGTCCTCATGAGCTACAGAAAGGTGTACCTTGCTGCATTATATGAAAACCAGTGTCTTCTTTGGTCTCATCTCTGGGTAGATCAGTATCAAAATGCTTTGGGGCTTTCGGTTTCATCATCTCACACCAGAAAGGCTAGTTCTAAAACACTTGTTTGTATGGAGGATTTTGTCCCACTGTCGTTAACATTGCTAAAGTTGTTAGTAGAATCCCTCCAGGTCATCAGTCACCACTTCCACAGTGAGTTGATGGGCGGGTTCCGAAAACGTTTGTAGGGGTGTGTGTCAGGGTGCTGAGCTACTTCAATAACAAACATGTTGCTGGTACCAGCATTTATGTTATCGTGTTTAGGCTGGCTGGGAGTTAGCCACATTCCTCTGCATGTTCGCCCGCCTGTCTTATCTCCGCGGGTTTATATTGGCGCCAGAGGCTTGTATGTGGTGTATGCGTGGGTACTCAGCAGTTTGACCTGAGAGATCCGACTCGGATGTGAACTCTGACTTAACCCTCATCTTTCGGTATCTGCGAATCCCAACAAATAGTGTGGAAACTTACTCACAAAACCACAGCCATACTAAACTACCAAACTAATCGATAAAATGACAAAGATGACCTAGAACCGAAGTTTTTGAATACTGCAACGCTCCTTGTATGGCCTTAGTACTGAATCATGGAAGACAGCGCTGTTATGGTATGAAAAGAACAGATTGACAGCTCAGCTTGCCCCTACTTCAATCCACAATTCACGGAGAGCCTCATTAGTTAGAGACACTATTCAACACTTGGTGACGAAGTCAACCAGTCCACCATTGGTATTCTTCTCAAAAAGGAGAAATCCCACAAGCTATACGAGATCGTTGTTCAGGCTAGGCAAACCGTATCACGTGACTCGAGCTGCGCGACCGAGGGATAACTGCGCCATAGCCTAACTGTATGTTAATCGCACTGCCGAATAGTCACCGGTGGTCGAATGTTGTAGTGTTACACTGCTAACCAGGCTTGAGTCGCTCTAGGCTTTTAGGATGGAACACAGTATACACTGATTTGGTAGCAAAATGCGACATCAATTAACATTCGACTTCTCCGAACGCTACCAAGGTAGGCTGTTCCCTCCAGCTTTACTTCACTTGGCTCACTCAGATCAATCCACAGAAGCAAAGCAATGAGACCTCGTCCGACTGGGAACCCTGCTCGCTCAACAATCGTTTTTTGATGCGGATGACATCATCAAATGAAATCAACCGACTTCTTCATTGCCATATCAGCATACGAAGCAGCGGCTAGTGAGATATCAGGAGTTTGCTATGGTCGAAGTGGGAATTGAAACAGCTCCAGGAAACTAGTTCGAGGACGTCACTGATACGGATGATCAAGAGAACAGATACTGAATGACTCTCGGACCGCAAACAATTCAAACATGTAAAAGCAGCTAGAATTGTTGCACAATCTGCTGAACTAAACGATGCCGGATTTTGCGAAGTGGATCGTCCTAATCCCCGGGATAAGCGTAGTTCGGCGCGTTTGACGCAGTTCTGACAAATAATCTGGATTCGTTATTCCTAAAACAGATACTAAATTTTTTCGATGACATCCTAGTGCGACTTTTTTGCTTCATATCTGGTTGATAATTAGGCAACGCTCTTTCAAGTATGCACTTTTTTCATGTCTTACTTCTCATATGCTGAGAATAGACGCCTGAATCACCCAAACGCGGAGAACTAAACAGGAATGTATCCACGCAACGCACTACTTTTAAGCTGGCAGAAAACTCTTCAACGGCCCCCGACCGGCCTCGCCCTTCTTGCGGCTCACTAGGTAGTCGAGTTTCCGTCAATCTTGTACTCTACCTGAACCCAAATTGCACAAAATTAGCGAAATACACTCATTTGCACACCAATTCGGTTTTGACGGGAGACTCACCTGGAGCCCAGCTGAACCTATCGTTTATGTACTGTGCAGGTCGCCTCATCTTTCAGTTGGTACGATATTCGAGATATGGCAATACATTATATATGGATGTACCCAGTTAACTCAAAGAGTAAACCATCGCAACAAGTTCAACTCGTTACAAACTTTGTCGTCATTTGGTACATTGCTTTCTTTCTTGAACATGGTCGCATGAGTGCGCATGCCACTTGCAACAGATACGCGACCTGTGCATCCGTATTAAAACCAACTCTTCAACGCGACTGGGTTCATTCGGCTTTTCATGATACGAGGAATTAAAGTGAATGAACTCCCGCTTGAGGTTAAAGAACTTCAAGACAAGGTTGCGAACAGATTGCAGTCAACAAGCCATGTACGAATGGAGACTTTTGTTAGGCAAACCCGCCACGAAATAAGAACCTGGGATACCTGTTGGTAGTAGTTGGGGTATTCTGTCAAGGAGACTTTGAGAATATGGAAATCTTCCGTTTTATTTCGTGGAAGACGGCAGTTACAATCCACCCTTGCTAAGTTAGTGGAAAAGAAACGATACGGAAAGGCGTCAAAAATGTATGTGGATATATGTATAGATGCACATGTATACAAAGACGTAATATGTAGTGTATGTAATATGTATATGTAATATGTATATGTAGATATATGTATATGTATATATGTATAAAAATCTCGGTATCTTTTATTGACAATTTCGTTGAGGGGAGAGGGGGTTGGATGCAATGGAGGTGGTGCTGTTGTATGTACTACGCGGCGACGAGGTCTGCACTGCGCAATTCATTCCGTGGCTCCAAATAACCTTCCAGGGACATTTCCACGTATCCCTAAATAAGCAACCAGAAAAAATGGGATCATAGTATGAGAGTCAACAAGCTGGAAAATGGTACACGCTCATGGGGTACAGTACGGTTGAAGTGTTGATAATTATGCAAGATGACACAAGAAAACTGGGCGGTTGGGGTTTGAAAACAGAGAGGATTCACAAACTGTGCGCCAGTGATGGCTGGGTAAGAACTTTCGGTAAAAAAAACCCGAGCTGAATGATCAGCAGCACTGTAATAACTCTAAGTGCTCCTTCCACTGTAGTTTTAGCAGGCCGATTCGCATGGGCATTCGAGGTCGAATGTTGTTCACCGCTTAATGAAGACAAACACCGCCGTTGTCAAACCGGGAGAGCACATGTTCATACTGATCGGCTACTAGGTCCAGTTTGAAATAAAGATAACATATTTTCCGGGCTTCTGAACAGAACAAAGGTGTAGTTGCTAACCCCTCTTCTTTTGAACTGTGCCGTGTCACTGTAGCTATTTTTCACTTTCCCTTAGACGATCTTGACATACAGCACAAGGCAGAGCAACTGCTAATGTGAAACTTTCTGAGAAGCAACAAGAAATGTCCCAAATAGTGATTAGTTTTGAAACGGTGTTCTGGTTGCCTGTTGAGCGTCCGACCGCGTCGTGACCGAAAAACATGAAACAGGGACTGATGAGCCCCAAGAAGGGCGAAATCGGTCGTCGGCTACCGCAGGGTCTTCAACAACCTTATGAATGTAATGTATACGATGAAACAGGACTTTTAGCTGTATTGAAATACGGAAACTTGAGAAATTCAACTGTGGGTCTTCAAGACTAAACGTGAAAATAACACGGGAGCAAGTTGAATTATTTTAAGGGTACAGTTGGGACAACACAGAAGCCTATTTGAAGGGGAATACAGACGAATCTAGACCCGAAACAAACCGATTTAGGGTTGGGAACAGGAATTTTTTCAATGACGATCGTGCACTTTCTTGGATGATATCCTGTATGAATGCCTCTGATGACCCGTTTGTTCGTAATTTAGGTTTCCGGAAACAGACTTCCTTCTCCCCCGGCATTCTGCATTCTGGCATACAGCGGAAATTGGCTGGCTTGGGTCATACTGGTGTATGACGCCAACAGTAAGACCGATCACATGCTCAACATGTGACCAGGCTTACCTTCGGGGAGTTTCATGTTACTGCTATGAAGTTCACACGGTTAGGTTGGTTAGGTTAATTAATGGGCCACATAGAGCAGAAACAGAGGTTATTAACAGCACGACGAAAACACTGAAAGTGGCGTCGACGGAGTGCATTTCTCAGCTCGATCCACTTACAAGATTGTAGATATCTTTTCTCTTTGAGTCTCTTTTTCAGGAGTACCAGTCTCTTGTGGATCACGAAAACCGATTTTCTACAGAAAAAACTTTTGCGTTGAACAACTGACAGAAGTATGTTACCGTCACAGCGCAAACATGAGGGGAGGTACCATCGGAAAGTCAGAGTGGTCAGGTTACTGTACCGTGAGTTGTGCAAATAAATCCAAGCCTGTCAATGGATCATTCAGTTATCAGCAAAGAAGAGATCTCTATGTCTGAGCACCGTCGTCTGACAAAGCGCACACTACAGATGGCCCCCAATAGAAAACCGACAAGAGCACGGTGCTTCTCGACTTTGCCGAAAAAATGTAACACTGAAATCGACCTTAACCAATCTGAGTAACTTAGAAGGAGCTCAGAAAACGCGTAAGAGCAGCACACTATGTTTTGAAAACTGAAGGTGAATGTGATCCCTCGAAGGTTAGGACAACCAAATGGAGCTCGGCATTAGAGTGATTATGTAATATAAAGGAAAAACGGGTGAGAAAATAAAACAAGGTTTTCATCGGGGACATACCTCGGGTAGGTTGGTGTACCCCGGGAGCGAGACGGTCCGCACTGGGGGAACTGGTCGAGGACGGGGCACTGAAGAACTTGTAGAAGGATTAGTTCCGCTTGTTTGTCTAGACCTATAACCGCTTGTAAGCCCACTGTCTCTTGACGAAGAGCGGAGAGTGCTTGAAACTAAAAGCTTAAGGTCATCCAAAAGCGATTTTGCAGAAGGTCGCAGGGATGGTTCAGTGTGCCAACAGTCCAGCATAATCCGATAGACCTCAGCGGAGGCCATAGAAGGTTGAGCATTCCGATAACCAGCCGCTAACCACGGATCAATATCAGCACAGGACAAACCGGGGTACGGAGTGTAACCCAGGCTGAATAACTCCCAAAGGTAGATTCCAAATGACCAAACATCGCTTTTTAGGGAAAACCGGTTATCGTGTAAACTCTCAGGAGCCATCCAACGAAAAGGCAGCCGCTCCTGAAAAAAAAAGGATCCGCAGTAAGTAATCCTTTGGGGACCCGAGCCCCTTTTGATAGCTAATTGGAGAGAAACTGGCGGTAATGATCGTCCTTTACCTGACTGACACAGCTTCCTCAAGGAATTGAGACAAAAACAAACAAAAAACTCCATTGCAATACAGCTACCGTAATCGCGTTTAGATGGCACATATTTACGCCAGGAATACAAGTTGTTGCAGCGGTTTGACAGTAGAGGGCACAATGAGACCCATGCAACATTCTCCTGACGGATCTCCTTTAACCTACACACCTCATGCATCAAACATTGAAAAACGGTAGTAATCTAGTGTTGATTATACGCATATCACAAAATTCTTAGTTCCGTTAGTTCAACACCTCACTCTTCCTTAAGTTGTCAATGGAAGGAAAGCCTATGCAGAGGAGTTCGACCTCTTCAAAAGAATGGAGAATGAACGGACCAAAATCTTCCGGTTTTGAAGCTATCTGTTCTTTGGGATGCGAAAGTACAACCATCCTGCAGTACACTCAATCAACTAGGACTTCGAAAAAGGTCAAACAACTTTGGTCGTGTTGGGGGTGTCCGTATTATGGCAGAACGAAAAGTACATACATTGCGACTAATGGATACGGATGGTGGTATTGAAAAGATCATCACAAGAAGCTCCGCTTAAAAGGAAGGATGCTGCATATAATTACAAAACCGACGTATGTGACTGACGCTTTACCTGCGCCCCTGTTACACTATAATGAACTGGATCGTATTTCCATACTTTGCTAGCGGTATTGAGGTATACAGTGAGTAATTTGAAAAAAACGAGCAAGGTAACAAGGAGTAACAAATATCGTAACTCGATATTTTGGCTACCGAAGGGCGATCTTCACTGGGGATAACGGAACATACGATGAATATAAGCATGGTCAGATCTGGTTGATGTCGGTGCGCATGCGGGGTCGGTTTCTGGAGTGGAAACACCAAATGCGGTCACTTGTGACCGAACGACATCTAAGAGCGAACGCGACTAATTAGCAGTCTTTGTTGACCCGAATTTCTCTACCACAATTCGACGAGTTGTCTAATCATTTCCGCAACTTCCACATTTTTCACATTGTGAACAGTATATTCTCCTTACAAGAAACCTCCGACCAAGAAATGTTTAAAAAACACAGTGCAAGATAAGCCCTTTGTACTGGCAAAATGGTCGAGCAAGGTGTACTTTAGTGGGTGGCGGGTACTCCATTCGTCATGTTGGATTCCATCCCGTCATCGAATAAAAACAAATGAACTGAGTTCGACTCGTTGAAAGCGAGTAAAGATGTGACGTGTAGTCGCCAACTTATGAATGCTCGCATTATATGCCAAACCAGTGAGTGACGATGACTCCAAGGAACTGTGATCGTTGGCTTGTTCGCTGAGCTGGGCAATCTGGCTGCAAACGTTTCATCACCAACCGAGGTGACATCATCAGTGCGTAGCGGTGGGTAAGTGGTGTAGTGTAGTGGTAGTGCACAACCACCAACCCATCGCTACGCACAACTACGCACTGATGATGTCACCTCGATTGGTGATGAAACGTTTGCAACCAAATTGCCCAGCTCAGCAAACAAGCCAACGACCATCTACGCTACCTGAGCTACCGACATTCTCCTCTATAGAAAACCAAGGAACTGTCCTCTTCTCGCTGTGGGTCTTAGCAGAGCAGACCAGACTGATCTAAAGATCGTGTGTACGCACATACGTTGTGAGCCATTGTCAGTTATGGTACATGGCGGAATGATGGTTCAGTTACCTATAGAACGATAGCTCATGCAAAAATGACTGTCCTGAAAACAGGATGGTAAAATGCCAATGAATAGTCCAAAGTGAACAGTAGATAGTCTTGTGCAACTCAATATTTTTCCCGAACTAGTCAAAATACACTCATTTGTTCACCGTGACTGGGTTTACCGTCAGTGTATAGTCTTTCCACGACTTCCCTTGGGAGCTACTTCTTAGCAGGCAATACACTAATGAATGCTCCGCAGAAGGGAGACAACGTAATTCCATTGAAAAATCGACGGTGCAAAACTGGTAGAATGTTGGGAGAGGTTAGATCCTTACTCGGAACTCATCCACGTAGCAGCCATCGACGAGGGGGCAACTAAGTCCAAAGTCGCATAACTTGGCTACGTAGCCTTCCGTAACCAGCACATTGCGAGCAGCGATGTCCCGATGCACAAGCTGAAGTGTGAAAGGGAGAGGAAAAAACAAAGTAAGTTGTTGATAAATACCTCTGCTGCTTTGCGACCAGTTGGGCGTATGTTTGGGGCAAAACTAAGCCACAGTAGGCTCACTAGAAGAACAAAAGAACGAAAGTCATTCTGATAAAGTCTGATTGCAATCAAATTACTTTTCACTTAGCGTGAGACAGATCTGATCACTCTTAGGGTGGGGGAGCCAAAGGCAAGGGTGTCGATGCATCGAAAATTCAGAATTCATTCATTCATTCGCATACAACGTTTGTCCAGCCACTTGCTGTGAGTCACACATGATATGTTGAGCATTAGCCTGTAAACGATGGTCAACAAGACGTCTTACGTCGAATGAAGTCCGGCAGAAATCATGACGTACTCACTCGCAATGATGAACACATAAAATGGTATGTAATGCCCAGTTGAGACATTAGAATGTCTTCCCCCGACTGGCAACATGGCTTTGGCCCGGAAGCATGTTACAGAAAATCAGTCACCTCATCTCACCAAAATTGTCATGTTTGGGTTGAGCTAGATCTTGGTGCAGTGTGTGATCGTGCGCGGGGCCGCATTGCGACTAGTGCCATGTACGCACACACGTTCACAATGCCGTGCCACGAAAAGTACAGGATGACCCGGCCACAGGAAGCAAGGACGATTGTGTGACCTCAAAATTCTGCCAGGAAGTGCGTAGGTGTGAGCATATTCTAACAACGTATGAGCAACGGCACAACTACATCACACTGTCGATATTGTGTCGAGTGACAGGCTTACGTTTATGTCGGACTAGCGAAAGTCTGAGTCATTGGGACGTGACAGCCGAAAGAACAGTGATTCGTGAGTCCCTCTTCTCGTCAATTAATCCTTAATAATCTTACAAACGAGGCCACGAACTACTATTTGCGCTTCGTACATGCTTACAGCGAGAAAACACGTTTCAGCATACAATGCACTTGTGCTTTGGTCTAAAATCAACCTTGGGTGGAATGACAGAAAGTCAGCACGAGGTTATCCATTCCCGTTACACCGCGTTCCGAAAGTAGGGGAAGAGAATAATAGTGTGGTGATAGACACTCGTTTGCAAATTAGTGTTGACTGGGGACTCGAACGGAACTGTACAGACGAAATGTTCGAACAGTTCGCTACTCAAGGACGGCGCCCTAGTGCCGGTTTTTCTCGCAATCTTCACTGCACGTGAGGACCGGCCGAACTGGGAACGGTAGTTATCCTGCCCACCATCACAGTCAGTGTTCCTTAACCCGAGCAAACTCGTTCGGTTGGTTCTGTGACGTCACGAATACACCAGTGAACACTAATAGGAAATCTTCAAAACTCAAAAGGATGAAGTGTAGTTTGAGTGTAAATCACCAAGCAGATGACCGGTTTGGCCAATTAGCCCTGATGCGAGAACACATCACCGATCGGTGGCGAGGTGTTGCGGTTTGAGGCGTGACTAAGTTTCATCTGGTGACCGCCTCCATGTCCCCTCCCTGGAATTCGGAATGACTACTCGGTAATTTTTTATACCCCCATAATCGGGTTTATTTTCCTTGATTTTGCGACATTTACGTCGTTTTAGGTAAGTGACCAGCCACTATCTGTTTCAGCAGTCGAAATTCAACGTCTTTCTCATTAAGAGCGGGAGCATCTTATACTTAGTGGTTGCTTTGAGTTGCTTAAACGTGAACAACAGGTAGAATAATCAAACGGGTACATCGATAGATCCCGAAATTATATATGGTTGTAGGATCGTGATACGACTTGTGACAACTGTTGACCTTTTCCCTCTCGAGTCAACACTGATCGGGAATACTACAAAAGGCAACCGGTTAGGAACGTCGCCTTAGGGTTAAGTAAAAGGCAATGGGACACCCAACCCAACCTAGCCGAATTACCAAACATTAGTCTGAACAACCGGCCAATCGGCAGCTGGCTTTTCTGGCCCGACTACTTGGTAGCTGCCCCGCTGCAATTTTCAGGGTCTCAGTAGGCTCCGAGCATTGTGAAATTATTCTCGGGAATCTGACCTTCCTGACACCTTCCATCTCTCAAATCAATAAACACGGATCGAGTAATCAAGCCCCAGCTCCCTGTTCTCCCCTGATTCTCTGTAATCTCACATGCATACTTGTTGGTGGAACATGACAAATTCCCAGCGAATCGCTCTCTTGGAGAGGAAACAATTACAAGCGAGATGCAACATAGCGCCAAGCACGGTAAAAGGGCTTGCATGAAACATGCAGTAGATCGATGTTGCTGCGTGACCAGGATATGCAGTACAAAGGTAGAATATGGCTGATATGATTAGGCTTCAAAGCACCTCCAAAATGAGGTACCACTAAGAACATGCCCATAAGTTGTCAACCACTGATTCGTGCAGGGATTCGAACTGGAATTTGATCGCACAGCTTAATTGACCACTATACTGGAAAGCTGATACAAATGCTCGAAAATATGTGCCTGTGAAATGTTGTTCCCAAGACACCAAAGCGGATCTAACATGCACTGCAATCGACGCTTCTAACCACGGTTCATGTGGGAGTACTCATCGTACGGCCTAGTTGCATTGTCATGGTCGCCTGAATTGTCAAGAATCAAGCCAGCCGTGTGACAAGTGTAAGAACCCGGAAATACAGAACCTGTGGCGTCCAGAACAGTGAGTGAGTTGGTCCGTGTTCAAGGTTTCGGGTCAACAGTACGCAACACTCAAGTGCAAACACGCTTCTCTGTTGAGACTATTCAGGTGTGTACGATGTGCGCTGGTGAAATGGTGGTAATGCATGTCTTGTATGTCAGGTGACCTGAGTTCACATCTCCGCAACACCGCCAAAAGTACACACTTCTCATAAACCATAATAGGGATGAAACCGGATTCCGATATTCTCTGCTTTGGAACGGAGCGAGCAGAACTGCACCAGTACATGGGTACGACTGTCCAGATGAGAGTAATATTGCAAGCACTGTTGGGCTTTCTCCATATGTACTGAGAGTTCCTGTGATTTCTTGAAAGTTGTCATTCCTAAAGTTCCAGCCCCAAAGTTACATTTATAAATAGATTAGAAGGTCCATAGTATAACAAATGAGATTTTAGTGGTTAAAGACCACAAAAAAATTGAACTGTAATGCGTTTTGATCCTCTAAGAGGGGGCCACTGGTGGATTAGGACAAGGCCAATGGTTTTGTAGATTGCTTTTTAACACCTTTTTGGACGTAGCCTTTTTGCTGTCTCGACTGCGTTTTTGCAGATGGCTTTCGATCGATTAGGCGGCAGTCGGAAAATCACGTCGAACGATTCGGCCGGGTTGATTTGCAGGTTCTCATCGACCAGATGGCTTGCGATTGCATTGGTCAAGTGTTCGGCTTCTACGGTTCTAATGCAGGGTGGGAAATACTCAGTTGCTACCTGTGAGAGGCGCCAAGCCGTACAACCTACATAGTTCGTGGGACGCTCGTGAAAACGAGGAACCATACGGTGGCAATCTATCATGCTATCAACCTAACTTGCAAGCTTGTATTGAGTAGACGGACACAGGATACATTGAGCCCAGCCGTACTGAGAAGGACGATCCCAGAAGATTTATCCAACCAGATTAAGGGAACGTCATCCCTAGCTCACATATTCCACAGCTATTGTTTGCTTAATCGTGACAGGGTTTCTGTGATACAGTGGACGTCGAACATGATGACAGTCCACATAAGTTTTTTCCGCTCACAAAAGCTGTATCGAAATGGAGCGATTACAGATGCAAGGTGACAATATCCATCATTAACCCAACTAGAGCGTTACGTGATGTGCATAGTCTAACTGACCTGATTGAATAAATCCCCAAACTGAGCTTGCGCTTTTAGACAACAAGCGCCGGTTCGCGGGATTCTAAAGCTACAGATATTGCACCAAAGCTTATCAAAATATACATGTGTTCACCGGAACCGTCCATAGACCTCAACTAAACTACGAGGTTGTTTAAGGTGTCATGCTACGATGAGGATGCTTTGGACTGTGAGAATGAATACAACCATCCAAATGAGCAGCAACTCCGTCTGCTCGCTTATAGAGATCCCGGTTGCGTGACTTCGAGCTGCTGAATGTGCATGGCATGGTTATCTTGTATGCCTAGCGGTGCCAACTCCCTCTCTCGCAAATCCTGTAAGTGCTATTCCAGTCACGCTAAGGCTGGAACATCAGCTAACTGTTTGTTGTCGTCTGACTGTGTCAGTTACCGGAAACCCCAAGTACATCACGAGCTCAAGTAAGTTGGCCTCAAAGGGCTCACTTTTGTTTCGTTATTTTAACTTGTATTTTAGGGGATGCATTAAAACGGTTGTTTTGTTGAGGTGGGAATTTCACTTGTCCAACCAATGTGTACATCCAATTCAAATCCTCTCAGGTCGATGCACACATTGGTTCAGTAAAAATCAGGTCGTACAGAAATTCTGTCCACCAAGAGTAAAAGCTCTGTTTAAATAAAGGGCGGCACCAGGTGACGTGGTCAGTCAACATGAATGACGCATAAAAAAGGGAGCGGGCTTTGTTGTGTTATTGGATTGTCATCTTCCGAATGAAGGCTTTCCCGGAAATTCGGAGCTTCCGATCAAGGGGTAGTTATCGAAACCAGCACATCAAAGTATCAGTCTGGGGGGCTGACAATATACCTACCTATCAGGTAAAGCTTGCTACGCATCAGCGGTATAACAGTGGAATTTCGCGCGTCCGCGGCTGACGGAACCAAATGAAATGTTAATATCTTTTAACTATTGTGCTAATGAATGCGACGAAGGTGAGTCATTGTGTCAGAGCTTTCTGAGTTTATTCGTAGCCAGCAACAAACATAAACTCTCACCTTTCACACGAATTGAAAAGCAAGACATTACACTGCCCATCTCATCGAAAAGCACTAGGTCAGGATCCATTCGATTTCCATCTCACTAAACATAATAATAGCTAAGGAATAACAGGCAAGTCGTGCGGCACCATCACAGCCTTCTTCC